AGCAGCAAACCACAGCCAGTAGAGCTCTGGCTGACACCTTGACTCTTGACGTAGACGAAGGACCAACTGCTCTGCTCTCCCCAACATGCCACCATTGTAGAAGTGCCTCGAGTCTGGCTGAGCTTAAGGCCTTTTGTAAGTAAATCTGCCGGTTGTCGTTCCCCCGGCCAATGGATCACCTTGAAGATTCCCCCATCTATTTGCTCTTGTAACCACCCTGCCTTTATCCGTAGATGTCGTGTCCTCCAGCTGCTCGATCCCGAAGCGATACTCAGCGCCGAAGTTGAATCGGTAGCGATCGTTCGCTCTTCGATCCTCTCCCCGATATCAGACAGGATGGCTTCTGTGCTTTTGGCTGCAACTGCACCCTCCAGTAGCGCTAGCAACTCTGCCTCTGCGGTACTTAGAGTAATCATGCTTTGTCTTCCACTCCTCCATGATATCGGCACCCCACCGTACATCACAACCCAGCCTCCATGCGAACGACATCCCTGGGGCGCATATGATGCGTCCGAATACATCATCAAGCCTTGGCCTTGCCAATTGATGACCAAGCCATATCCACTGGTTCGCTGCAAGTACCCAAGAATCTTTCGCCCAATGCTCAGGGTTTGTGTTGGATTCCTTGTGCATAGAGAGGCCATAATGCATGTAGCAAACGACAAGTCTGGACGAGTACGCTGGGCCACCCAGAGCACTTCCCCGGTTATCTGCTGCGCATTCCGGATCACCTCTGGATCTGGGGCTTCTTGAGTCTCTGGTAGAACGGAGAGCTCCTTGGTAATGGGGATCTTGTCCAGGTGAACAGACTTCACACCATGCGTTCTGAGAAGCTCCTGTATATATCCCTGTTGAAGCACCAGAATCTCGGTGGAATCTTCCGCTTCCCGCTGTAACTCCATACCAAGGAATCTGATCGGACTCCCCGGTCCCAGGAAAGTCAACTCCGATGTCTCCCAGACCTTCTGCACCATGTCGCCCAGCTCGGTGACGATCTTACGTGGACCACAGATCATAAAGTCGTCCACATACACCACCACCAACGCTGTCAGTCGACCCTCACTATCCAGAATTGACCACCATGAGGTAATGGCCTTTCCCTGCTTCCACTTGAGTCCTCGGGGTGTCTCCAGCTCTCGTAGCGTATCATCTCGGAAATTTCCCCATAGGAGAGGTGCTTCTCGTAAGCCATAAAGTGCTCGCAGAAGTCCCCACAGTTCCATTTTTACTGAAATCCCCAAAGACTCCAGCAATCTAGGCGGTTGTGCTACCACCACAGGATCCCTTGGCGATCTTCCCAATGGCGTCTTAAGAAACGCCGCCACCACATCGAGAATTGCTATGCACCATCGGTTTCGACTCGAAATGGTCAGCCCTGTGCGCACTGCTTCCGCTGGAGCCGTCTCGGCGTAGACCTGCGTCCCATCACTCACGGCGAAGTTGCCACAGATCACCAATCTCGACTTCCGCTTAAACCACGTGGATCTGTCCGCCAACACAGCTTTGTCATTGGGTTTCACTGTAAAAACAAACTTCATTGGCAACCGCTGAATATTGGGTTTTCCCAACCACCTCCTCCTGGCATCTGAACCTGGCGGTAGCTTTTCAACAGCTCCCTCAATGCCCGCCAGCTCCTTCAAGATCGATGGCCGCCATGCCTCCAGGTTCGCCATGACCTCATCGGGGCTAACAGCATGAGTTACATCGAGGGGTCCAGTTAGCTGAGAGAGCACTTCCTCAATCTTCGGGGTGTAGCTTACCTCGACCTTATTCAATCGAGGTCCGATGCTCTCCTCCTCAACTGCGTCGGCGATCTTAACCATGCCCTCTTCAAGCTGTAAATACATTGACCACGGTGAATCATTGCTCCAATCTTGTCCATACTGTGGTACTTCACCCATTACAGCCCGGATTGCTTCTCCTCCTCCTGAATCCCCAT